GAGGAAGGGAGGGGGAGAGAGAAACATCGATGATGAGAGAGAATCATGGATCAGCTGCCTCCTGCACACCCCCTACTGGTGGGGATCGGGCCTGCAACCCGGGCCTGTGCCCTGACTGGGAATCGAACCCTGACCTCCTGGTTCCTAGGTCGAGGCTCAGCCACTGAGCCAGCCGGAGGGGCTCTCTGGGTTCTGTTCTAGGGTCTTTGCAGGATGATTGGAAGAGCAGCTGCAGGCCGAGGCGCTGCAGACAGAGGCACCTGGCTCACCCACAGGGATGTGGGGTGACCTGAGCCACACTGCCCCCACCTCCCTGATTGGTTTATTTTATTAATTTTAAATACATTTCTATTGATTGCAGAGAGGAAGGGAAAAGAGAGGCAGGAGTTTCTCCTGAGCCTGAAGCTAAACTTGCCTTAAGCTCCCCCGGCCGGCGTGGCTCAGCGGCTGAGCGTCCACCTAGGAACCAGGAGGTCAGCGTTCGATTCCCAGTCAGGGCACAGGCCCTGGTTGCGGGCTCGATCCCCAGTGGGGGGCGTGCGGGGGGCAGCTGATCAATTGATTTATTTTATTAATTTTAAATACATTTCTATTGACATCAGAGAGGAAGGGAGAGGGAGAGAGAAATATCGATGATGAGAGAGAATCATGGACCGGCTGCCTCCTGCACACCCCCTACTGGTGGGGATCGGGCCTGCAACCTGGGCCTGTGCCCTGACCGGAATCGAACCCTGACCTCCTGGTTCCTAGGTCGAGGCTCAGTCACTGAGCCAGCCGGAGGGGCTCTCTGGGTTCCGTTCTAGGGTCTTTGCAGGATGATTGGAAGAGCAGCAGTTTAGTGAGTAAAGGCCATCGCTGGTCATCTCTATGGGCAAGACCCTTGGTCAAGCCCCTCTAGGTCGTTAAAAAGAGAGGCAGGAGTTTCTCCTGAGCCTGAAGCTAAACTTGCCTTAAGCTCCCCCGGCCGGCGTGGCTCAGCGGCTGAGCGTCCACCTAGGAACCAGGAGGTCAGCGTTCGATTCCCAGTCAGGGCACAGGCCCTGGTTGCGGGCTCGATCCCCAGTGGGGGGCGTGCGGGGGGCAGCTGATCAGTGACTCTCTCTCATCATTGATGTTTCTCTCTCTCTCACTCCCTCTCCCTTCCTCTGTGAAATCAATTTTTAAAAAAATTTTTTTTTCAAAAGTTGCCTTTAGCTCAGTGGTTCTCAACCTTCTGGCCCTTTCAATACAGTTCCTCGTGTTGTGGTGACCCCCAACCATAAAATTGTTTTCGTTGCTGCTTCCTAACTGTAATGTTGCTACTGTGATGAATCGTCATGTAAATATCTGATATGCAGGATGGTCTTAGGCGACCCACAGGTTGAGAACCGCTGCTTTAGCTCAAAACAATCTGCACCCCACGGAGGCACATCTTGGGGTGACTCTGGGCCCCCCACACTTGCTTTAGTGCCTGGTCTGGAACTGGACGGCTGCAAGCGGGGGGTGGGGGGGTCCTGAGAGG